GGCCCGCCCCCGGCGGGCCCCGCAGGGGAAGCTGGAGCTCTCCCTGGAGCTGCTGACGGCGCGGGAGGCCGAGGAGCGGCCGGTGGGGAAGGGCCGGGAGGAGCCCAACAAACACCCGACACTGCCCGAGCCCAAGTGAGAGCCGGGATGGCACTGCGGGGACACCGGGAGGTGACAGCCGGGTCCCCAGAGGGGCTGGGGGTCACTGGGGTGGCACAGGGGTGACAGCAGCGTCCGCAGAGGGGACCGGGGGGCACAAGGGTGGCACAGGGGTGACAGCAGCGTCCGCAGAGGGGACCGGGGGGCACAAGGGTGGCACAGGGGTGACAGCAGCGTCCGCAGAGGGGACCGGGGGGCACAAGGGTGGCACAGGGGTGACAGCAGCGTCCGCAGAGGGGACCGGGGGGCACAAGGGTGGCACAGGGGTGACAGCAGCGTCCGCAGAGGGGACCGGGGGGCACAAGGGTGGCACAGGGGTGACAGCAGCGTCCGCAGAGGGGACCGGGGGGCACAAGGGTGGCACAGGGGTGACAGCAGCGTCCGCAGAGGGGACCGGGGGGCACAAGGGTGGCACAGGGGTGACAGCAGCGTCCGCAGAGGGGACCGGGGGGCACAAGGGTGGCACAGGGGTGACAGCAGCGTCCTCAGAGGGGACCGGGGGGCACAAGGGTGGCACAGGGGTGACACAGGGGTGGCACAGGGGGGACAGCAGTGTCCCTGAGATGACACACGGGTGCCACACGGGTGACACGCGGGTGCCACAGGGCCGGGGAGGGGACACGGTGGCCGAGCTGAGCTCGGTGTCCCCTCGCAGGCGCCCCAAGTCCTCGTTCCTGTGGCTGCAGTCCCCGCTGAGCCTCGTGCGCCACGGGCTCCGGTGGCGGTACCCGCTGAGCATCGGCCTGGGGCTGGCGGCGCTGCTGCTGCTGCTGCTGGCGCTGCGCTCCTTCCTCCCGGTCAGTACCGGGAGATCCCCGCTCCTTCCTCCCGGTCAGCACCGGGAGATCCCCGCTCCTTCCTCCCGGTCAGTACCGGGAGATCCCCGCTCCTTCCTCCCGGTCAGTACCGGGAAATCTCCGCTCCTTCCTCCCGGTCAGTACCGGGAAATCTCCGCTCCTTCCTCCCGGTCAGTACCGGGAAATCTCCGCTCCTTCCTCCCGGTCAGTACCGGGAGATCCCCGCTCCTTCCTCCCGGTCAGCATCGGGGGCTCCCCGTACCCAGAACCGGGCTCTCCATGCCCAGAACCGGGCTCTCCATGTCCAGAACCGGGCTCCCCGTGCCCAGAACCGGGCTCTCCGTACCCAGAACCGGG